TTTAGCATTGTTTCAATTAGATAGAAAGTAAGATTTTCGTTTCATTCAGTTAGAAAGTAGGATTATCTAATAAATTAGGTCAAATAATAGCTAATCTTATCGTGTTTTGAATTTTTTCGAAAAAATTTTCAATTTTTTTGATAAAAGTTCCAAATTTTTGCCCAAAAACTCTTACCATTGACTTACCATGCACCAAAAAACTAAATACATAACCTTAATTCTACAATCTACTCGTAATTAACGATTAATTGTTCCCAATTAGATAACGCGCCCCCAAAAATTTTGCGAAAAAAATAAACATTTCCACACAAAAACCAAAAAAAATACGTTTTTTGTACCATTATCTTACCATCACACAAACCATAAAACCTTACCATCGGTATTTCCTATCTTAATACATTGTAGACTCTATACCCAATCTTAAAACATAGCATGGAAGACCGGAAATCTATATCGTATCTTAATACATGGGGTCTTCCATGCTGCACCCCCAAACCCCCCCCCACGCCAAAAAACTGAAAATACTGAACCCTATGGTGGGGTGCCATCAGGTAGCACTCAGAAGTTGCAAATCTGATCTCCAACTGATACTGTTGAAATCAATCTGGTTTTCGAGATTTGGCGTTTTTTATGCATAATTTTTTTATCTTCAAAAAACAGGTTCAAAAATTTTTTTCACAAACTAACAACTTGAAGCTGTAAAAAACCTTCTGTCACAGTTTTTTCTGCCCGCCTAATATGACTGCCTATGTCGTTTGATTTTCGAGATTTATTTTTTTTTCTCTTACTTTTTCAAATTTTTTCCTAAGTTTTAGGTTTGAAAAAAAAAACTAACATAACTTGAAACTCTCAACCCTATGGTGGGGTGCTTTCAGTACACACTCAGGGATTGCAATTTTGGCCTCCAAAAACACTAATCAAACCCTTTTAAAAGCTGAGGTTTTTAAAACTTACAAATTTGACTTCTAATTGGACTTCTCTCATCTTAAGTCTCCGAGATTTGATATCTATAGTTATTTTTTCAATTTTTCCGTCATCTTAACAGTTCGAAAAAACTCTACAATCTGGGGTCTTTTTCTAAGATTTCTAAAATCAACCTTTTTATTATATCAGCTTGAACTATAAAGTGTCAATGAACGAATTAAAGACTGTTATTTAGGTTTTGTGTTTTTTTTTCAGGAAAAAGTCTTTACACTTGTGATACCAAGTGTATTACAACGGGGTCTAGGTCTTTTCGTTTTTAGCCAGCAAGTTTGTTCAGAATTCAGCTCAAGAGATTAGCTTGTCAACAGACATAATTTGAGAATGTTTGCAATTCAAATAACCCCAACACATTCAGAATTTGTTATTTTTCTATCTTGTTTCTAAAATTATTAATTCAGATTTTGCTTTTTGACGCGTTAAAGAAGTGTAAGGTCATAAAGTTTTTTCTTTGGAATTCCAATATTAGTATGTTTTTCGTTCCCTTGAGTTCTTTGAGACTTTTCCAATTGCCTATTGGCTGTGATTTATTGAGAGTGGAAAAAATCTTTTGGTTGTTAAAGAACGAAGTTTCGTGAATACGTTCGAAACGAATTTTAATATGTGCATTTATTGTTAAATTAACCAAAAAACTAAAACGATTTTATTCGGAGCCTTTAGCTCTGTAAAATTGAGCTGACTGTAAAGGGCCATTTAAGGACAAATTTCAAGACATATCCGCATATTTTATCACAAAGTTTTCTTGCTCAAATTATTTTATTATAATTAAGATATATGAGCTACATTCGATTATTTATTGTGCATTTATTTTTTATGCAAGCATGTGTACTTAGCCAGGCTCTCTGGCATAGTGGTTTAAGGTAAATGTTTTGTTATAAGTCCAGAAGTATGAGGGTGCATCGACTCCGAATTGTGTTGGAAATAGTTAATACCTATAATATACGAAAAAATACCTATAATATACGATTCTTGAGTTTCAAATAGCTTTTACTGGCCATGTTTTTTCTTCGAAAAATGTAGAATATTCCAAAGTTTCCAATCAACTTTTTTTTTTCGGTTTCCTTGTTTTTTTTACCCTTCCGATCGGGTATTGCAATTGGGTACTAGACTTTTTTCTCGTAAATTATTTTTGTTAAGAGGACTTTTGTTAGCGTTCTAAATTTAAATATCCAGCCTAAACGGAATTTGCTTTTTATGTTAAAAGTTTTACCTAATCTTTTTTTTAAAATTTATTGTTGTTTCAGTTCGTATTTTTTCGGCCTAATAGGTTCCGACTGATTTTATATCGGCTTACTAGTCCCGCATTCCGTCGTTTGATCCGCGAAAAAAGATTTTGTGTGGGTTTGTGTGCTCTGAGGGAAAGGGTTCTTGAAATTTTCAAATAAATTTTTTAGTTTCTTTTTCTTCATTTTTTTTCGACATGAAGCGTGTCTATTGAGGTAATTTCGGCTTAGTTACCGCTTTTTCATTGTAAATTCAATCAACCGACGGGCAGTATCTCGGGCAGAGGTAACACAAGTTTTAAGATTTGATGAACATAGTTCAGACTCTTATACAGGCCGCGATGATTTTCTTTGGTTTTCTTAGGGAAAGTCTTAGAATGTTCTAAAAGAAAGGTATTTATACTTAAAATGCGTGTAAGAATGCTCGTAGGTATATGGGCGGTTTTTTGAGTCCAATTTAGGTTCGTTTGCTAGAATGTAGGCAAAATGAGTTCTCTAATTCAAAGCTGGAGTGGAGTGGAGCGAAATAACGTGATCGATTTCTACTGTATTTTTTTGATTTCCCAGCTGAATAGAATTTTTTCCTAGTGATCCAGTTGTCTCAAATTGGGTTATTTTTTTATCAGAAAAGTGCCAATATATGTTGTTTTTGAAATTCAAAGAATTTTGAGGCCATATATAAATTTTTTTTTGAAATTCGAAACATGAAGTGTTTTTGAAACTTTTTTTTCTGCTTTTTTTGTATTTGTTGGCTCTGCTCCACCTCTCTGTAGGCTGTTTTAAAGGTTCAGTTTTTATCGAATTTCCCGTAACACGCCTTCTTGAGAGGTCACAGCCCGGAAATTCCATTCCAGTGGGGGTCTGTTTTTTGCAAACTGAAAAATTTTCGGATAGTTTTGATTATTGTCTGATTATTGCCCATTTTTATCTGCTTAGTTCTTCAGAGAGGTATTTACTGAAACTTAAGCTCCTTTCTAGCTTTCTGAAAGCTTTTCGCGAAGTTTTTTATGGTGTAGGTCATTTTTTCCGGATTTTAAAGCTCTTGTTGCAATCCTATTGAAAAAACAATTTTTAATATTTCTTCAAAAAATTGACATGTTGTCGAGAAAAAATGGTTCTTCCTTGGCCATAAATTTTCGAAAAACTGACGATAAATTGAAGAAAAAAAATCACCTGTTACTACGAGGCCAAGCTGCCTCCTGTACATTGTAAGCGGAATCCGCAACAGGACAAAATCAATTTGTCGCGGAATCCGCAACATTGCTATTTTTATTTCATCTTCTTGGCTGTTTTGGATTCAACAAACAAATACCTAAAACATTTTACCTCTCAAAATCGCTCCAAACATTGGCGAATTTGCGGAATCGGCAACCGTATTTGCGGAATCCAGAACAGTTTATTTAATCTTTTTTTTACTAAGTGGTCACCAGCAATTTCAATCTCAATTACTACGTTGATCAGCTACCAGTTGAAATACCAAACATTCGATCTTAATTCCTGTCGGCCTAACTTCGATCCCAATTCCTGTCAAACCTGCCCAATTTCGACTCAATACCCGACTACGATTTCAATTCCTCTCAGCCCAAATTTGATCTCAATTCCTGTCAAACACCCATTTTCGATCTCAACACACAACTTCGATCTCAATTCCTGTCAACCCAACTTCGATCTCAACACCCAACTTCGATCTCAATTCCTGTCAACCCAACTTCGATCGCAATTCCTGTCAAACATACCCATTTTCGATCTCGAAAGACCCAACTTCGATCTCAGTTCCTGTCAACCCAACTTCAATCTCAACTCCTGTCAAACATACCCAACTTCAATCCCAACATTCCCCAACGTTCGTTGGTTGTGTTTTCCGACCCCAAACAAAAAATTGAACGAACTCACTCAATCATCGGGTGATCGATACTAAAGATTGAAATCCACCTATTTAGTTAACCAATGTCTTAAGCGTTTGTGGATTCCGCTGACAATGGATAATTCCTTGCTTTTAAATTCCGCGTTGCTATAGATAACAAATTCCACCTCCAGTTTTTAATTGTTCATTTGCGGATTCCACTTGCATTTCGCGGATTCCACTTCATTTTGCGGAATCTACTTGCAGTTGCGGAATCCAGAACAACTAGCTATATTTGCTTGTTGCAGAATCCACAAGCTGCTATCCTAGTTCTCAGTATGTCTCCTCCTTCTCACCGTTATGCGTCAAGAACTGAAAGAGTCATCAAATTAATTTTTATTAGCGGTTTTTCGTTTCAGTAGAAATAAGAAAAATCACGTTGTTTTCCTTTTTCCAAATTCTTAGATCATAGGCTAATTTCGATTCGTGCGCAACGTTGTTGAGTGCGAATCCAGCTACAGTTGTTGAGCGCGATTCCAGCCAAAGTATTGTTTATAAATATTTTAAATAACAGTTTTCATTGTATTTTTCACGAATGATATTTCTCCGTTATTGAACTCGTGCTAGATTTGTTATTAGTTCTATGACAATAAATGGCTGTTCCTTTTTGAATTTTTTAATCCTCGGTTCATCTCTGCGAAGTTTGATTTAATTTTTTAAAGTTAGTCAATCATTTTGTATCTCAAGTGGCGCAAAGCTCCGCTTCGCCTGCCGGTTTCCATTTTAAAACTTATTTAAAACCAACACCATTCGCTTAAAATAATATGCAAAAGCTTGTCTCTTGAATATTGTTTCACAAATAGTTTTTCAACATGAATGAACTTGCGCATTGCCTGTATACTTCTGCGTTTTAATAAAATAGTTTTTAATTACTTTATGAAAAGATACTGTAGTATTTTCTATGCATGCTTTGGTTTATTCACGACTATCTAGCGATACCATCTTTTGCAGATCTATTTTTCTGCGGTGGATAGTTTGTTGTTAGCTGAATTAAAAGGCAAGTGGGAAACTATATCCAACGTCTTTTTACATGGCTTGGAGACGACAGTTTCAGTGTTATTTCTTCATTTCAACTTTCATTGTACTGCCATTTCGCTATGTATAAATAATAGAACGTAGTTTCTAACTGCTTTTCACATTGAATGCTGCGATTTGTTTCCGTTCCAAAAAAACGCACCATCCGCAATATATTCCCCTATGAGAAACATACAGTTACCTCTACTTAGTTCCCTTTTCAGACCACGCGTTCACGAGCGGGTGATATTTTCGCTTTCTGTAAAAAGAAGCTCAATGATTAAATTTTCTCTTTTTTTTGCCTGAAACGAAACAGGAAAGCTTGTTGTGGTTTATGCTATCTGTAAAAATAGTGACTTAAAGTTCGTAACTTAGCTGATTGCTTCCTATTTTTGATCAAAAATAGCTTGTGTCTTTCAAATTGAACAAATTTTTATCATTATAAGGAGAAAAAGTAGGTTCTCCAATCTTCCCAGATCCCAAGAGTAGTTGACTGAAGCTCCTCTATCTTTTGTTTTAGCAAAACCAACAGCACCACTTAATTGACTTTTCGTTAACAAATCTCACAAATTGCGCCAGTTTGCTATTGAAAAAACTAGAAAAATTGCCTCAATTGTCTTTTTTTTACATTAAAATACGCAAAATTGAGAAGTCTAGAATAACTATCTGGTTGCTGAAATCAGGCTAATTTTCATAGTCATTGACATGGTTCAATGAGTGAACTGCGAATGTCGTTATTCTTGCGTATGATGGTGTTGGGACTGACGCTGTGTGGGGAGACCTGTTGCTGGGCGTTCGAGTACGAGACCACCCAGTTCACCAGTGCAGTGTTCAACTACTCCTACACTAAGGAAGACAAACGATGGGTGGCATCGGATGACGCTGTCAAGTACTACACGGTGAGTCAACCGCAAACCGATTAGTAGACAGGTCACAACATTTGATGCATGAGTTTCATTCAATCGACCTGGGAACTCTTAATTGCCTATAACATGTTTCCGTGAAATTTTCTTATCTAAACGACGTTTCTGAAACTTCTTTAACCAGACGACATCACGAAGTGCGAAATATCGATGCCTTGGCGCCGAAAGGTATTTCAAAAAGCTTAATACTAAAAGAAATTATTAAAAATGTTCAGTCAAGTTTAACTTATGAAATAGTTTTGATTTGTGCAAGATTTTGGACTATAAAATAGTTAAGCTAGCAGTAAATAGTGCTACGAAAATTGACCGGAACAAGTTTTTAACTAGAGGGATCAATTACCTCGCTCTTATGTACAAATCAAGTTAGGCAGTGGTACATCTGACTAATTAGCTTCTCCAATTGTGTGTTCTATTCCATTTTGTTGTCTTTAGTTGTTTACGGGAAAAAAGTCTCAATTGCAACAACCCTGATTATTGCAGATGCTTCATATGTTTCTCATTATTATTTGCAGATGTTTCATCTTGCTTCATATTAAATTCAATAAGAGGTAACACGCCTGCTTAAGATGACAAATGCTTCATGTTCGAATCCGGCCGGGGCCTGTTCTTTATCCAAATTTTCAGATTTTTTGGACTATCGTCCGTCTGTTTAAATTTTTGGCTTTTTTCTAGTAGTTTTTACTCTTTTTGAAGGCTCAACTTTTTTCTAAATTCCTGATTGCCATTTCTAAAACCTCATTGGTTGATTTTAATTGTATAGTCGTACTGGTTTGGTTTTGTATGAGTTTTTTATTCTTCTTTTTCCTTGTAATGATGAGTGTGATGTGGTTTCTCAGTCAGAAAAATATAATAGATCATTAAATGGATAGTTCTTATTTATTGAGTTTTTTAATCTATAGAGTTCTTGTAAATGACTTGATTCTGATTCGGAAAATGCGTTTCTTTGTTTTGTAAATCTTTTTCGTGTAATTTGTCTTTGTTTGCTTAAAATTTTTCGTTTGATTGTTTGTCGTTTGGTTCTAATATATCCTGTTGACTGTCTGTGTGGAGTGATTACGAGATCATATTTTTATCGTTGTTTATTTCACAGTTGTGTAATATGATTGTTTGTTTATTTCCTAAGTTATCTAGTGACATAGGGTTTAGGATGATGGATGCAATATTTGGATTAGTGATTTTTAAAGTGCTTAAAGTATTAGTCCTTACGATTTTTTCGGGTAAGCTTAGCTTGGGTCTTGTTGTTTAGGGTTGGAGAGAAAAGCATATATCGATTCCGAAGAATGATTGTTACTTTCTCGTGGCTAGTTTAAGTTAAGGTGTTAACTTACTTAATCTTACTTAGGGGTAATGATTGTGTTCAAGGGTTGGAGAGTACTAAATCGATCCACAAGGTTCAGGTTTAATTAGAACAAACGTAGTTCGTTAGATACTATTTTAAACTTACGAAGTTTAAGTAATATCCTGGGTGAGGTAAGAGGGGAGATCAAGTGAAGGATGAATAACCGAAGTTCTTCACTGTTTATCTTAATTAGAATGGTTAGTGATATTGAAAAAATTCTGTTAATCCTGGGTCGTAGAAAGGGTTGGATAGTGAATCGACGTTTTAGGTCGTTAGACACTATGTTACTGTGTGGGGGAGAACAGAATTGTTCTATTTGATCCAAGGATAAGCCTTGATGATCAAGATATAAATTAATGTTATAAATTCAAGTTGGTTTAAAAATGAAATGGAGATCCAAGGAAAGCTTTGATGAACTATTTAATTTAAAAGGTTTAATTTAGGTAAAAGTAAAAATTAGAAAATAGGCCTTTTTAAAGAAATTTAAAGTTTTAATTGATAGAAAGGTTTAGTTTTTGATTATGTTAGAGTTTTATGATTTGCTTGTTATGTTTAGGTGATGAAGCTGAGATGGAGAATTGATTTATATATTACTAACAATTTGTGTATTTACTAATTAATTTTTATTTTTTCTTTTCAATAAACATTCTTTTCAGATATCTTCTCAATTTAGTTTACTGCAGTTTTAAAGAAACGATTAGAGATCTTTTTATCAATCGTTATTGTACAATAATAGGTTTAGCGCCTGTAATTATCTGTGAAGAATTTTCTTCAACTATACTATGTCTGCAAATGAAAATCTAAATTCATTGCTAATAAAACTCTAAATATAAAAGTTTGTGTTGGCTTTTGCCGTACGATCATGAAACTTATGGGTACGTTCCGTTGTAGTCGTATATCGTCTGTTGTCCGAGGTCTTCTTCCAATACCAGGGAGTTCTCGATTTGTTCGGAATGATGGCTCTGATCTATTGAGTCGAAGAGACATTTCAATTAAATTATTGTCGTATAACATTTTTGTGAATGTTTTTGTCTGAGTCTAATCTATTTGTTGTTAGTTCTAAAGTATTCTTTTGCTTAAGGTCTTATTCGAGACTTATGGTCGCACCAGATGAGTTGGGTCTAATGGTCTAACTCATATAGTAATTTCAGATAAGGTACACCGTCTGCTCGTCACGCTATTTTATTTTCGACCGGATAGATTCGTGCAACTTCTTAGTCTAATACCGATCTTAATCTTACTCTTATATCTCTTAGTCTCAATAGATCTAGAGTATACTAGTTTGTTACGATTTGGTCTCTTGGAAAAGGCAACTAAGCTGTAAGTTAAATTCAGAATGCTCTGGTGCTGAAACTACAAGTTGTTTCAGCACTTACAAATAAGTGGGTTGTTAGTTAGATGGAGTATGATTGGTTAGTCTTCAATATTTTATAGGGATAAAATATCTAATTTATAACCAATAATAATATACAGTTTGGATCAGGTTCCACCACTGATGGAGGTAATTGAGTTATAAGATTTTTTCCGGAATTTAAATTTTATTTTCTTTTGAAACATCTCTTTTAAATGGTTTTTATCCGCTATTTTATGTGCACGTGTTTACATGTGTGATTATTAGCCAGCATCATTAATTCGGAACGTATACTTATTTTTGTTAACAAATTTTCCAACAAAACTACTGACTCGTTTTCTCAAATTGGCACTTTCGTCAACCAACAGACTTGCTCTTGCCAGTTTTGCATTTCAAATACCCGTTCTTTTCAATATTTTTTAAAATTGATTTTGATTTTGCCAACTCCGGTGCGGTATAGTTATTTTTGTTTTTCTTGCTTTTTTGTTTACTCGGTTTAAAAGTCTTTCTCGCTTATACTGCGGCTCAGTGGCCTGATACTGCATCGTTGGATGAGCTAAACAAGTTTCTATGCTTGTGAGCGGAAAAACTTAATTATTTTTGAAAGTTTTAAGGTTTTTTCTGGTGCATTTTTTGGCTCAAACATGCTTGTTTGTTTGCTCAAAAGTTGTCGACTTTATGCAAATGTAATTTTCAATTATTATCTGTCATGTTTTTTTTAAAGTGAACGTTTTTCCAGATATGAAAATTTCGGTAGATCTGGCTTTTCTCGGCATTTTAAAAGTTTTTTTTCGACTTATTGGCTTTCGTCTCAAATTCTGTCTGCTAGTTTGTCATGCTATGCTTGTGTTGCATCGCAAGTGGTGCGAGCTACGCTTCGCATCTGTGTTGACTTGACTTACGTTTCTTTCAAGTGAAGTTAAAAACAGCAGCGAAGGTCCGAAAAGCTTTGATACATGTAAAAAAACTTAAAACTGTTAAATCGGAGTCTGAATTTACTTAAAGTTTCGGTTTACTTTTCGTATACCTATGAGCATTTGTCATTCATAATTCTTAAACTTGGAAGATGAAGTCTCGATATACATTCGAATTGATTGTATACTCAGCTGTATGTGAGAAATATTTTGTTTAACAAAAGTATAGTACTTGATGAAAAAGTCAGAAAGAAACTATAAAATTCTTTAAAAGTCTTTACCGCTCAAATTTGATTTTTTTATTTTGCGGTTTGACTTTTGTTTTCTTTTCAAGTACAGTTCATTTGTTTTGTTAAAAAGAAAGTAAAATCCATGTTAGTCTATTCTATATTTAAATGCGGGCTTCACTATCTCGCCAAGCTTAAGCTTTTTCAGCGTATTATTTTTTGCATGTTTAACGAACAAATTTTTCCACGTTTTAGCTATATTGTATATTGCAATAGTTGAAAAGTTTTTTTCGAGTTTGAATTTGTGGGTATTTCACCGAGTTTTAAATTGGCAGCCCAATAGTGGGGTTCTGTCAGTATACCCCAAGGGGTTGCGAATTTGGCCTCCAATTATGAATGTCCAAATGATTTTAGTGTACGAGATACGACGAGTTTTGTGCAAAATTTTTCAGAAATCTTAAATTACGAAATAATTTACAAAATTTGAAGTTGCCAACCTTGTATTTGGATGTATTCAGAGAACTATAAAGCATTGCAAATCTTGCCTCCAGTTATGACTGCTCAAGTCTTTGTAGTTTTCGAGATTGGTCGTTTTATGATTTTTTCAAACAATTTTCGGGAATTTCAAATTAAATTTTTTTCTCGAACTTTGAGAACCTTAACCCTACACTTGGGTGCTATCAAAGTACTCTCAGGGGTTGCGAATCTTGACTTCAAATATGAATGCTCAAATCCTTGTAGCTTATGATGTTTATTGTGATTTTTTCAAAAAATTTTCAGAAATTTTGTTGAATTTTTTTTTGTTTAAAACTCCTACCCCTGCAGTTGGGTGTTTTTGGACTACTTTCAGGGATTGCGAATCTTGCCTCGAAATATGACATCTCAAATCCTTTCAAGATATGATGTTTTTTGTGATTTTTTCAAACTATTATCAGAAATATAAAATTAATTTTGCAAAGATTGAAATTCCTTACCATGTAGTTGGGTGCTATCAGAGTAATCTCAAGGGTTGCGAATCTTGCCTCCAGTTATGACTGCTCAAAACTTGTTAATTTCGAAATATGACCTTTTTTTGTTTCAAAAAAAAAAATTACAAGAAATTATATTAAAGTTTGACAAAAATTGAATAACTCAACTCAGTATTGGGTGCTGCCAGGTTCTTCTCTGGGATTCCAAAGCTTGCCTCAAAATATGACTTCTCAGATCCTTTTACCTACCAAGATATGACGTTTTTCAAGATTTGTTTAATTTTTTTTTTCACATAACCTAGATATAAAAAACTCTATGGTGTCAGGTTCTGTCAGGTTACTCTCAGACCTTGCAAATCGTGACTGCTGAAATCATTATAGTTTCGAGGATATAACGTTTCTACAATTCTCATAAAAAATTCAAAAACTTGGTTTGAAATTTTTTTAAAATTCCCAACCCCATAATTGGGGTGATCTCATGGTACTTCCAGAGGTTGCATTTCTTTTCTTCAAATTTTGACTGCTTAAATAATCTTTGTTTGGGTGATATGCTATTTTGTATAGTTTTTCAAAACTTTTGAAAAACTTAATCTGTAAAAAGAACTTAACAAAGTTTGAACTTCTCAAAATTATGATGGGGTGCTGTCGAGACACTCTCAGGAAGTTTTTATATGGACTCTGAAGATGAATGCTCAGCTCATTTCACTTTCCTAGATATGAATTATGATTCATTTTTTGTGATTTTTCAGAAAAATGACTTAAGTTCTAAAAAAAATATTCATTAAACTATCATTTAAACTGAGAAAAAAACTCTACTGTTTAAATAAAAAAGTTTATCAAGCGTCTCATTCATGAATTCAGTGATTTTGCCATTGAAATTGTTAAATATGAGGAGTTTGTTTGTATGCTTTTAGGCATTCTGAAACTCAGTAGTTGAAACCCAGTAGCTTCAGAGATTTAACCATTTTAGGTTAAAAACATTTCAGTTGGATTTTTTTTGTTTAATTATTTAAATGAAAAGCGTTGTTGGATGCGCCCGTCTCTTTTTACGGCTTGCATTCTTTTCTGTTTTTTTTTTCATGTATTTTAGATATAAGCTGTTTTCACGTTAAATATTCAGTTTAAAGCACCGGAGGTGCGTTAAACGCTAGTACTGATTTAATTATGTACTGAGTTGCCTATATTTGATCTCGTTATGAGAACGGAATATCTGTGAACTAGATTTGAGAACCCGAAGGTCAAATGAGTTGAATAGGTGCTAGATTATAAATTATTATCTCAGATCAAATGGGCCAATCTTTGCAGTGGAACACAGGAAAGTTCAAATTCAGCATGTGATTTGACTTGCATTTTAGAGAATTTAGTAAAAGCATGGACGAAGAATAATTTCAATTGTGTTTTCATGAAGTGTTTCGAATCGTAAGTGTCGGATATCATTTTGAGACCAAATATTCAAACAAATTCAGTGAATGAAAGTGAATATGCTGAATGCGGTTTTCTTAATTTTTTAAAGACTTCCAGTATTTTTAAGTTTTTATGTTTGATAGGATTTTTGTGAGGTGAAAAGGCACGGATTCTGCTTTCTAGTGTCATTTGTTTCTTTGAAATGACATATGGTGTGTTAAGGGCAAATGGGGCTCCCTGAACCCGGTAGCGCTACTTCACAAGAGGATCGCGGGACATGGGTTCGCCCCTTCTCTCACATACTTCCATGGGTGCGACTATGACGACATAGATTTGCCTTCGGATCACTTGGAGTTTAATGACCTCATAGTGGTGGTGAGGAAGGGCGGAGAGTGTTCGCTGTGGGACAAACTGCTTCTGGCCAGTAATATGAACTTTTCCGCCCTTATCGAGTATGACTCAGACTCAGACGTTGAGATGGAGGGTCTCTCAGGTATACTAAATTGAACACGTGATCATAAATAAGATAGGAGATTAAGAGAAAAACTCAAAATTTTACATCTTAACAAGTTTTGCCCAGCTGATGAAGAGTTTGTTGTTTTTTGCTGGGCGTTTTTGAACAACGTTTTTCTGTTGTTTCAGACTATGCAGCTGACTCAGAGAGAGGTGAAAGTCCCAGTAAGTATACTCCAAATTTAAATGACGACTAGCCTAGCAGTCTATACAAAGTTATTTCATCCAGTGTGAAGCTCTTTTGCGCATCATCCGGCTCACTAGTTTCGTTTTGCTTTATGTTTGAATTTATTTGTTTTTATTCGGGAAGTTTCACAATGGGTGTTTTTTTTCGCGAGGTTTCAGTCACCTCAAAAAAATGATTGTATTCTCAAGTCAAATATAATCTAGCGTCCTTCTAGTCGTAAGTTGGATTAAAAAAATTGCTGCTAAACTTCTCTCCATGTCGAGAAACTGGTCTGGTATTCCACGTTTCTCAGATTAGTTGATGACGGGGAGCAGACATGAAAAAGGGAAAAAAGTTCAAATTTAGCAGCCATTAATTTTTTCATTGCCTATAGTACCGTACTCAGGAAAACGTCAATAAATTTTTGCGATTTACATTGCCATGATTACCACGCTTCGAACATCATGTTATTGGCAAAGCAACCAACTGTGTCTGGACAATTGTCCAGGCACTCATGTCCCGGGCAAGTGTTCAAAATGCAAAATTGGTCCACGAAATTTAATTCCCAGACAAAATTGTTCAAAACATATCCGGCTAATTGCCACACTAGATTTTAACCGGATTTTTTTGATAAAGTTTTCAATAAGAGAAATTAATTCGATAAGGCCACACAACTGTAGACCAGATTTTCCGAGTAGCATGTAAGAGACAAAATTAAAATTAAAAAGGACCCAAATCATGTATACATATCTAAACAAATACTGCTTGGTTGATGTTTATGCCAAACGTAGGAATGCATGATTTAACACCCATTATTATTGCTTTTGAGTTCGTGCTAACAATGGAAATCCTTATGACAAATATTTAGAATTTTTCAAAATTGAACTAGATCCGTTTTGAAAACGTCAAAAGGATGGATGTAATCAAGCTTTTCATAACGTTTCCCTTTTTGACTCGACTGAGTCATCCCATTTCGAATTTGCCCAATTTTACCCAATTTTGGTTTTATTATTTTGACCAAATTTCGAAAAAAAAAATCCGACGCGAGATTTCAACTTCCGACGTTTTGACCTTGAAACCAACGACTTCACCATTCGGCCAAACACGCTTTAAAATTTTAATTGTTTCTTCTCGGAAATTTTGTCTCGCTTTCAGTGTTGCATGGCTATTTGGTACTAACAGAAGCTTATTATAGAACGCGCAAAAAAATGCAAATCAAAGCAGAAAAGATCACAAGGTCACATCAAAGAAGTTATTTTTGGACAGTTCCCGCTTGAACAAAAAGGTCTGGTACAATTTTATGCTTCAGAACAGTTTTGTCTATGCACTTAACCAAGCAAAGTTTTGTTCTCAGACTCTCAAAGAAAATGATGGATTTTTTGTACTCGGTGTGGTTTTTTCTCCTGGTTTGTGTTTTCTGTTTGTTTGCGTTCATTGACTCTTTTCCAACTGTCTGTTGTCTGTATTTTTTCGTATCAACCGAAAGGTGTTGTTTTGCTGAGCTATTTTAAAATGGTATTTTAATGGTGATCCTTTTTCGTGAAGCTATGGGTGTTCAAAGATTGCCAATTCGGGATAATTAACACGTGATATATTCCGTGCTATTAACATTTTATCGACGATTGAAGTTGGCCGAGAAATAGTTCCAAATTTTTGACCAATACCTGTTTTTGCGTGAACAAAAAGTAAAAAAAAAACTAAAAAACTCACCGGAAGACTAAAATAATGATCCGCGTTTTGGCTCTGCGTAGTATAATTTAGTCTTGATCGCAAGGACTTTGGACAGCAATATACTTTACCTCTGTGTTTGCTATGAAACCTGCATCATCAATAGTTTTTTGTGACTTATTGTTTTATTCCTTCTTCAGCGACGTGTGCGTATTAGAAGTTTACTTTTTAATTTATTTTTCGCAATTTTCTGTGTTCGGTTTTTCTATAATTTTGTGTCCATTTGACTAATTCAACTAAAAAAATCATATGCTGTATCTGTTTTATTAAAGCTCATGCATTGCTGTCTGCCTATTGTTCCGACCTCTTCACGAAGTGAAGGGAAGGAACTATGGTGTAGATTGTTTTTTTTCTAGATTTTGACTACCTCAATGAAAGTTGGTAGGACTTCAAGTGTGATATCATGTTAGCCGCAATTTGGAATTACTAATAAGATATAGCAGTAATTTGAGTTCCAAAAAATGTCTCAGTGTCAAAGAAAGTTTGTCTGAATCAGTGTTTTGTACTCGTTAAACGATATACGACAAATTCTACGAATGAACCCATACACGATTATACGAGAAATAAGGTTTATACTTTAAATTTACGATTATAAGAAACCGATAATTGACAAATTTTTTGCGTTAGAAGAGTTTTCTCATTGAGTTACTGCAAGATTGATTGATGTTCGGGCGGTTCAAGTCCAATATAAAATGTTTTTTGATAGCAAAATTGCGATAATACTTAAAATGGTTTTTTCATCATACGTCAGTACACAGGTCTGAATGTTTCCGCGTTCAGACGATATTGTATGTAATACGATGACACTACCAACTCACTTTCGATGATACTCAATTTTATTATACCACAGTTTAAACATTATTTTAGGTATAATTACTTCTGATTCTCCAATTTTTAACCTAATTTAATGGCCAATTTTTTAAAGTTTTCCCTTGTTTTTGAATTTTGGTACTCAAATCACGGTGGTCGCAACATTCTGTGCTACGTGCACAGCACTCGGCTGTTCATGTTTCTAATAGAGAAAGCAAGAAGGTCGTCTTGCTCAACCAGCAGTGGGTAAGTGACGAGGACTACTAGGTCTTGTATAGGCGATCCACTGTTCAAATCCTCTAGTCTCCTAAACTATCGTAATATAAGTTTAATTTCTTTCAAATCGCTTATTTTAGCTATTTAGAGAAACTTTTGTGATGTTTTGTTTTTGTGTTTGCGAAGTGGAGCTATGACTAAGTGCCAAAGTTTAGTTTGGCTAGAATCTTCACATCTATGAACTTTGCTTTTCCCAACTTAAATTTCCCTGAGCCAATTTAACTACAAAGGTGGCATGAATAAATTAGCGATTATAATGTTACAGCGCATTATTCACTATTATCCCGAAGAATTGCTATGGATCATCTAAAAAGTGAGCGGTTCATTAGCATCTGGCGCTCTGTCTATCATAACTGCTATCAGAATAGTAGTTGATTAAAGAAATACGGGTTGAATGAGGAGCGTTTAGAATTTATTTTTGGTTTTCCGTAAATTTGTAGCACCTTTCGGTAGACTTGATGTTTTGCTACAATTGCTGAAGTAAATGTGAAATAATCGATTTACTCCGATTCGAATATGTTCCCAGCTTCTAGAAACTCAGATCAATTGTTTGATCAATTTGCGCTTAATTTAGTTTGGCTTGCTTCAACAAAAGCTTCAAATTTTTCTTCAGATGGAATTTTCCTACAAAATGTTATCAGCGAAAATTTGATTTGATTTTTTGTATTGTTTCGCTACTTTTTACATTTGCGAAGCAAAGTGTATAATTTACTGATGAAATTAGTTATGCTTTCAAAAAAGTACCACTGAGCTTGCAATCGAAATTGTTCAAATATTTAAACTGGGGGATGAAAAATTATAATTATTTACAATTTTTTTTCAAATCGAATTATTTTGGATCGTATTTGAATCATAATGAGTTTAAGTCCTCATAGAGTAATTTTGGAATTTTTGATACATCTTTTTTCGGCCGGATAGATTCGTGCAACTTCTTAGTCTAATACAGATCATAATCTGACTCCTATACTTCCTAGTCTCAATAGATATAGTATATACTGGTATTCTTGCGAGGTTACAGGAGAGGAAGGGCAACTGCTTTCTAAATTAAATTTATTCTTCTCTCGCTGAAACTATGAATAGTTTCAGCTTTACAAATTATCGTAAGTTTTAGTCATGGATCATGATTGGTTAGTTCTAAGTATTTTACAGTGATAGTGTGACGGCGGCCTATAGGCATCATTACTCATATAACCTCAAAGGTATTTGTCCTTTTTAACCTAATAAATATTTGCTGTCAATATTTTATTATAAATGTTTACGTCCATATCTGGTGCTTCACCTACTTTTGTTGACTACATATATATTTACACCGGATGTTTAAAAAGCCTATATATTGACTTGATGTATAGCTCGGATAGGAGCTCAGAACAAATCAGAGAGAGCCAGGTAGTAATTTAATAATCATTTGAAACTCCTTTTGAGAAAACCATGAGTTACCACGCATCGAAGAAAAGATGGTCTTGGCCCCTGCAACTAAATACTTCTCAGTAAAAACGAGATTGGTTTTTGAATTAGTACAGAACACGGCCACACTTGATAGAATAGACTAAACCTAATAGTTTACAAGATACAGCACTAAGAATAAAGCATCTTGTCAAATGGTGACGGCGACAGAAAACTCAAACTGATGATTTCTCAAAAATGGCTCACGCAGCAATTTCTCCCAACAAATTTTCGGGATCTCCGTCTGAGAGTTGGAACGAGTTCGAATCACTATTCAGAAGTACGGGAGACGTGATCAACATCAACAATGCTCAAGCACCGAATTTCCTGAAAATTCACCTAAAAGATGCAGCGTTGCAATTCTTCATGACTCTACCAGAACTAACCCGCACCCGTGGAGACATTAAAATGAAACTACAGCACTCAGTGTTTTGTACTCGTTAAACGATACACGACAAATTCTACGAAAGAACCCATACACGATTATATTAGAAATAAGGTTTATACTTTAAATTTACGATTATAAGAAACCAATAATTGACGAATTTTTAGAAGAGTTTTCTCATTGGAATACTGCAAGATTGATTGATGTGCGGGCGGTTCAAGTCCAACATAAAATGTTTTTTGATAGCAAAATTGCGATAATACTTAAAATGGTTTTTTCATCATACGTCAGTACACAGGTCTGAATGTTTCCGCGTTCAGACGATATTGTATGTAATACGATGACACTACCAACTCACTTTCTATGATACTCAATTTTAATATACCACAGTTTAAACATTATTTTAGGTATAATTACTTCTGATTCTCCGATTTTTAACCTAATTTAATGGCCAATTTTTCAAAGTTTTCCCTTGTTTTTGAATTTTGGTACTCAAATCACGGTGGTCGAAATATTCTGTGCTACGTGCACAGCACTCGGCTGTTCATGTTTCTAATAGAGAAAGCAAGAAGGTCGTCTTGCTTAACCAGCAGTGGGTAAGTGACGAGGACTACTAGGTCTTGTATAGGCGATCCACTGTTCAAATCCTCTAGTCTCAGTAAAAACGAGAGTGCTTCCATATAGCTGAATTAGTACAGAACACAACCACACTTGATAGAACAGACAAAACCCAATAGTTTACAAGATACAACACTAAGATTAAAGCACCTTGTCATATATAGTCATCAAGAATATAATTGGATAAATAAATTCTAAAATACTTGTTTTGAACTGATTCCAGTAAGACTACCCCGTTACCTTCCTCGAAATTTTTCATGTTTTTACCTTTCATCTTACCTTTCGCGCAATTTCTTCATGTTTTATTTGCAAACTCACTCTGCAAGTACTCTTGGCTATCTGAAACAGAGATGTATAAAGTTCTCGGAAAATTTTATTGTTAATTCAAGAAGTAGACGGAAGTGGGAAGAAATTAGTGGTAGGTGCAATCGCCACAAATAATTATGAAAAAGAGAAAGATTTAATTTTAATTTTTTTTTGAGAGTCAATTAACGTAGTCTTTTGTATCGGTCGTGATGGTTTTTTATTCGTTTTTATTAGGAAAAGTCCTAATATTGGTTCTGGCTCAAATTTACTTTTTCTCAGTTTGACTTTTGATTTTTAAGTGCAGTTCATTTCTGTAGTTAAAAGGAAGGCAAACTGCACTATCGAACATTAAAAGTATAAAGGTCACGAAAAACGTGATCGACTTATCCAGTCAACTCAAATGGGTTAGTTTTATCAAAAAAGTTTCAATCATAAATTGTTCTAGAAGTTCAAGGAATTTTAAGGCCATTTATATTTAGATCTAGATGGAAACTTTCTGTACTTATTATATTTGCAGTCGTGTATGCCCTGGCAATCAAACCATTTGGATCCTTCGTGGAGGATCTCTACCGGAATGGTTCCCACCCCCACCTCTCCCTCGCGGCAGGCCAGACTACCATCATGCGCATTGGAGTGAACAAGACCTCTGTGCTGTTCGTGGCCACCTCTTTCGTCGTCCTCACAATCATCTCTCTCGCCTGGCTCCTCTTCTATTACGTCCAGAGGTTTCGATATCTCCACAGCCGCGACAGAACTAAGGTCAATTAATTGTCACTTGTCATAATTCCAGCCTACGATAACCTGCTTTTCAATCTGTGGCGAAGTTAAATGACCCAGGCGCGGAGTTTAAAATTTCATCATTACGAAGTAATCTCGGCCCAAGTGGTTTAGCATATCAAGCCATCGTTTCCAAAAAGCGGACTTTTTTTTGCAAAAACGCAAAAGTTAATTCATAAAAGTAAGGTAGCTGTGGTTCTGGTCATAAATTTACGTATTGAAAGTAATTTCTTTGTTTTTAATGCGCATGAATATCTTTATTTTGCAGGTTTTTGTTACAACTATCCTCAAAGCATGCAAAAAAAACCCGGTCCTACTTAATGCAGGACCAACCGTGGGGGAGGGTGGATGTCGACCATTTCGCCGTAGCCGTTCCCACCTTGAGGAGGGGAACCCCGCCATCCGTGACGGAAGGGGACTCGAACACGTGTTCCTCATGTTGAGCGACGTGTGCTTTACCCATATTAATAATTCATGCATAGGGTCGGTTTGTTGCCTAATTTTAGATATTTCCTACGCGGAAAGGTCTTACGGGACACATCAAAGCCCTATAAATTGCAATTTGAATACCAATTTTTTTTTTAAAATTGGCAATTGTTTTAATTTTTCGATTTTCATACTAATTTACTCGGAAGAAAATGAACTTCCTGTCTAATGTTTTTCAATTTATGACTTCATGTTAGCTATAATCATCTGAGTCGTGCAATTTTCATCTAATTGTCTAATTGTCAATTCTCATTGTCTAAAAACAAACAAAGGTTTGGGGAAAATCATTTAGAAAGAAAACAATAGAAAAAAGGCCCTTTTTCACTTTAAACGTTTGTCTCCGATATCTTTAAATGTCAATTACTTATTTAAATTTTATTCTGGATAAGTAATTAAATCATTCCTGCTCCACTGTTCGATCTCAAAGTAATTAAGGTAGGCAATCTGACCAATTACCCTCAGAAATGATTTCTAGAATTTACTTAAAGTGCCGATTATTTTAGAACTTGCGTCATTATGCTTTTGTATTTTAGAAGCGCTTAGCTGCGGCTGCCAAAAAGGCTCTGACGTTGCTTCAGGTGAAGATACTCAAAAAGGGAATAAATGTAAGTGAACTAAATAAAATGTCATGATTTTACCTAATTTTTTTTAAAATTTAGCTAGAGAGCAAATTGCATGTAGGAAATCAGCTGATTAGCTGATTAGCTTTTCAAAAAACTGATTAGCGTCTGTTAGCGATAACAATGATGATTAGCGAGCTTGGAGAAAATTGTTAAATCTCTTAACAGTAAAAACAGAGAAAGAAAAATTATCAAAGAATTCTACCCCAGTTGATTTTTTTGACATAAATGATGCTGTTGAAAAAATTACTAACACATTATTATTGCGACAAAAATAAATGGCTACTTCAAAGTTCTGTTTTGACAGCAAGCCAAGTAATTTTTCAAAAAAGATATGTGATCGTTATCAGCCTTGTTGATAGCGATAAGCGGATGAAATTAGCGATAGAGCATTACGAGGCCAAACTGTGCACTGGATAGGAGCACAACTCTGTGTCTGTATGTTCCTGGATTCCAGAGACAAGTCTTAAAATATGTTCCAAAATGTAAGTGGATTCCACAAACAAAGTTTCAGTGGATTCCGCATACATTTATCAGTAACGTAAATTTTGTCGGCACATTTGTTTTGTTGCGGATTCCGCAGCAAGCAAATATAGCTAGTTGTTCTGGATTCCGCAACTGTAAGTGGAATCCGCAAAATGTAAGCGGAATTCGCAAATGTTAGTGGATTCCGCAAACTAAGTGGATTCCGAATTTGGTTCAATACTGAACTTGCATATGAGCAATTAAAAGCTGAGCTGGAATTCTTATCTCTAGCAATGCTGAATTTAAAAGCAAAGAACATTGTCAGCGGAATCCACGAACAAGTCTTAAAACATTGGTTACTTAAATCGGTGGATGTCATCTTTTAGTATTTTGGAAACAAAACACTGAACAATTTCAATATTTGGAGTCATTGAGTTGAGAGTGTATGGAACACACAGCATATCGACAAATTAGGTCAGTATTTGGGAATGCGTCAATCCCAAATACTGATTTTGGAAGCATAACGCCGACTAAATGCAGTAATTGTAGTCATTGGGTTGAGAGTGTATTGAAACACAACACACAGAATATTGCCAAATTAGTTCAGTATTTGGGATTCCATCGATCCCAAATACTGGTCAGTATTTGGGATTGATGGAATCCCCAAAAACTGGAATAACGTGGAATGAATATGGAATATATCCATTATTTGGAGTCATTGGGTTGAGAGCGATTAGAAACCCAACGCATAGCAAATCGTTGAATTAGTTCAGTATTTGGGATTTCATCGGTCCCAAATACTGGTCAGTAATTGGGATTCCATTAATCCCAAACACTGATCTATTCTAGTAAATTTCTATTCTATTAAATTTCTATTCTAGTGAAATCAAATCATGTATTTGAAAGATATAATTTTAAAGGCTTCTACATATATAAATATATGTAAAAGGAACCCGCAAACAGAATGCGGATTCCACTTACAGTTGCGGATTCCGCAACAGCTCAATTTAACGGTACTAATGTTTTATTATTTGTTTGTGGATTCCACAAACTGTTCTGGATTCCGCAAATACAGTTGCGGATTCCGCAAGTTCTCCTATTTTTCGAGCGATTTTGAGCGGTACAATGATTTAGGTAATTGTTTGTGGAATCCAAAACAGCATAGAAGATCAAAGAAAAGTAGCAATGTTGCGGATTCCGCGACAAATCTGATTTTGGCCGGTTGGGGATTCCGCTCACAATGCAGAGAATGCACATTTTTGGCCTCGTAATGAGAAGCGAGGTTCGGATTAGTGGTGGTTGATTCAGCGCTATGCGATTATTGCATTAGTGATCACACCTGTGAGAAAGGTTGTAAAAATTTGTTTACCCGAGAGGGCAGGGCATGAGACTCCAACTCTCGAGGTCGCAGATTCGAATCCGATACATAGTAAAGTTTTAATAGATCGAGGCCTTGTAAGATTAATGGACGCAATGAGCACTCTTTTATAGGTCTTGCCTTTTTTTAATTTTTTTTGTCAGGAAAATTTGTTCAAGCTCATTTCTGATTTTCGCAGTTTGACTTGTGTTTTCTTTTGAAGTTCAGTGCATTTCTTTTGTTAAAAGGAAGGCAATTTCCACTATCGAACCGGAAAACTGTAAAAGTCTCGAAAAACGTGATTGACTTCTAATTTCGAAAATGGAACTTCATCATCAGATTTCCCAGCGAACTAAAAGTTTTACCTATTGATTCAAATTTCTCAAGTTGGGTTGTTTTTAACAAAAAAGTGTCCATCATAAAATGTTCTACAATTTCAAAGAGCTTTAAGGCCATCCATTTTTTTCTTCAATTTGAAAAATAATTTTTGAGAAACAAGTAGTTTTTTTCAGTTTTAAAGAGCTTTAAGGCCATCCATTTTTTTTCTTCAATTTGAAAAATAGTTTTTGAGAACGAATTAGTTTATTTTTTCAGTTTTCTTGCGTTCCTTACTCTTTTCCAACTGCCAATTGGCTATGTTTTCTATTTTTCCTATTGCATTTTTGATGCTGATTTTTTTTCGTGTTCTAGCTAGTGTTTGCGAAGCGCAGCTTCGCCTCAGTGTTGAAGTTATTTGCTCAAAAACAGTTTTTTTTGGTGATCAGCTTAAACCTCTCGGTCGCCTATATCCTTTCACCGGTAAGGACAGGCTCTTAAATGAAAATCTGAAACAATTTTTAAGGACCAAGGTATTTTCCGTATTTTTGCGAGACATTTTCGGTCATTCACATGAATAATCTGTCCGGTTTTTCATACCCAACCTGTTTACACAAGCAAAGCGTAGTGGGAATAATGCGATGCACTTTTTTCCCACTTCGGACGCAAACGAAAGTGCTACTTTTGTTGACGCTTTAGCCATTAAAAAAGTGCTATTTTTGGAACAGTATTAAAGCAGTAGGCAGCATTGACAGCATAGTTTCAAGTGTTTTGACTTTTGATTAGCAATAACTAAGCATTTGATGCTTTTTTACTTCACCAAGTGTGCCAAAACAAATTATTTGCTTCAAATATTTTCATTACTCTTGCGATAGCAAAGGTTTTGCAATCGAGTACTAAATTGTTTTCACGTAAATAATTTTTGTTACAGACTGATTTAAATGAAAGTTGGTAAATTTAGGTTCTGTTCTTAATTAACTCTAATTTTTTCGTGACCCGGCCACTTGGTCTTGAGGCAACTAACACGCCTGGGACGGCAAATATCAAGGATTTAAATCTGACAAGACCTCTTGTGTTTCTCTCCACTATCGAACAGCAAAACTGTAAAAGTTACGAAAAACGTGATTGACTTCTAATTTCGAAAATGGAAATTCGTTACCAGATTTCCCAGCGAACCAAAAGTTTTACTTATTGATTCAAATTTCTCAAGTTGGGTCAATTTTAACAAAAAAGTGTCCATCATAATTTGATCTACAAATTGAAAAAATTTTAAGGCCATCCATTTCTTTCTTTAAAACTCAAAAGTATTTTTTGAAAAAACAAGTCGGTTTTTTTTTCTGTTTTTTTTTTGCGTCCATTACTCTTTTCCAACTGTCATTTGGCTATGTTTTCTATTTTTTCTTATTTCCTTTTATGAAGCTATTTTTCGAGTATTTGCACAGCGCAGCTTCGCCTCAGTGTTAATGAAGTTATTTGCTCAGAAACAGTTTTTTTTGGTGATCAGACTTAACTTCTCGGTCGCCTAAATCTTTTCACCGGTAAGGACAGACTTTTAAAAGGAAATCTTAAATAAATGTTAAGAACGAAGGTATTTCCCGTATTTTTGCGAGACATTTTCGGTCATTCACATGAATAATCTGTCCGGTTTTTCATACTCAACCTGTTTACACAAGCAAAGCGTAGTGGGAATAATGCGATGCACTTTTTTCCCACTTCGGACGCAAACGAAAGTGGTACTTTTGTTGACGCTTTAGCCCTTAAAAAATTGCTATTTTTGGAACAGTATTAAAGCAGTAGGCAGCATTGACAGTATAGTTTCAAGTGTTTTGACTTCTGATTAGCAATAACTAAGCATTTGATGCTTTTTCACTTCACCAAACGTACCAAAACAAGTTATTTGCTTCATATAACATTATTACCCTTGCGATAGCAAAGGTTTTGCAATCGAGCTTTAAATTGTTTTCACGTAAATAGTTTTTGGCACAGAATGATCAAAATGAAAATTGGTAAATTTCGGTTCAGTTCTTTATTAATTCTAATTTCTTTGCGACCCGGAGGGAACGAATATGCCTGGTACGGCAAAGATCAAGGGTTTGAATCTGACAAGACCTCCTGTGTTTTTTATTCAAACGCGAAATAATCCGTTCACAAATAAATTTTTGGCTCATTAATTGGCCGCTTATGTTTTGTCGGCTCAGTTTTCATATGGTTGTATACAATTGTTGTTTTTTAACACAGTAATGAACGCAGTAAAGACTCGTATATAGGCCTTGGTGATTTTTTTTCAGGAAAAAGTCTTAAAATGCAAAAAAAAATCTTATACAATTTTTAGTTTCGAAAGTGGAATTTAGTTTTCAGATTTCCAGCGGAATAAAAACGTTACCTATTGATCCAGTTTTGTCAAGTTGGGTTGATGTTATGAAAAAAGCGCCAACCATAAAATATTCTAGAAAATCAAAGAGCTTAGAATGCAGCTGTTTTTTTTGAAACTCTGAAGTTGACATTTTTTCAACACTGGCAGTGCTTTTTTTTCTGTTTACTTGCGTTCATTACTCTTTTCAAACTGTCAGTCGGCTATATTTTTTGTTCTCTGGCGTTTATTACTCCTTTCCATCTGTCAGTTGTCTTTGTTTGTGTTTAGACCAGCAAAGCTTGTGTGATAGTATGAACTCCTTTTTTCAACCTGAGTCGCAAAAATTAGTGTTCATTTTGATCAAAAACCAGCTGTTAAGTACAGCCAATGCTAAGGATTCAAAATAGACTATTATATAACAAATATAACTTTAGCTTCAAGGTATCGTAGAGGCAGCGAAGGAGACCCGCAACAAAATAGGAGGGTTCAAAACTGGACAGGGTCGGATGTTTTATGAACTTTTCGTACACTAGTTAAAATGCGTTCGCTCTATAAATTAAAACATGTTAGTTGGTAATTTTTTTTTCAACCTACTGGTACTGCTAATGTGTCATAAATGGCTGGTGTCATTCAGCAATTATGTAGTCTCATAATTGGCGTGCGTCACTGAAGAAATTTTGGAGACTCAAAGTTTCACTCATTCAGTTTTTCCCAGAAGCATAATTGGTCATATTTTTGATTGTGTATGCGAAGTGCAACTTCGCCTCTGTGTAAGTAAATATGATCGGAACTTGCTAAGCAATTTGTACAGCAGTCGGCCGTCTTTTTCTTTTTTTTCCGAGTTTTTCCTACGCTCTTTTCCATCTGGTGATCAAATTATTTTTTTATCGGTTTGTTTTTAGTGTTGATCAGCTTGACTTGTCTACGATATGCTGACAATGTCGAAAATTACAAAAAAGTTTTTAATTTTTTCGCGTGAGAACCTTGCGTAGAGTTCTTTCTTTCTGACTTTTTTTCAATGTGGCATTGAACTCCTTAACAAAAAGAAGAATGCGGAAATTGCTGCTATAGTTAACCATTATAGCAATTGTTCTTACATTTTAACCATTTAGTGTTCTGATTTACCTCTGATGTTTGTATTTTTGCTAACCTTGGCTTTTCATGTTTTCGTTTTTTCTCGCTTAAAAACTTTATTCTGCTCAAATGATTCCGGCCTATTTTTAATGGCTTAGTGATCTAGTTTCGTTTCGTTAAAAAAAAGTTTTTTGCTCACCTCTGGATTGCACAAAATGCTAGAATTTTTAATAGAATTCTAGTTCGAGTTATCCATGACAACTACTTTTTTCGGCATTTTTGTGTTTTCTATTCCTTTTTTTTGACTTGATAGGTTTTGGCCTTTAATATATCTGTTTAATGGCCATATTGCTTCTTTCGACAATCGAAAAAGTTTTTGGCTGCGGGTCTGTGTTTCTTGTTGATTTGTTTCGGCTTAAAGGGTTTCTGCCAAGGTGTTTTTTGGCTTTGTTACCGTTTGATAAATTTTCTTCCGATTCTTTTTTCAAATTCAAATTTCCATGTCTTGGCATGTTTTGTTACTTGAAATTATCCTTTTTTGATAAATCAAGTTTTTTCGGCGTTTTTGATTTTTTCGAGCTCTTTCTGACTGAGCGGCTTTCTTGTTTTGTATGGCAAGTGGTGCAAAGCTCAGCTTCGCCTCTGTATAAAAATTTGAATTCGATTTCAGAAGATTTCCAATTCAAAATAATTTGAAAGGCTTTTGAAATGCATAATTTATACCTAAATTGGTATTATACTTTCCATTTTATTGCATTCAAAGTTAGAGTAGTTGCCTTTAGCTTATCACATTCCATATTTTTGCATGCAAACTTTGTTTTTTTTTCTGAAGTTTGAAGCTCGTTTGTGCTGCTTGTCTTTGGTTTCTATTAACGGCAGTGTACACAGTTGTGTAGGGAAAAAAATTATGTTTGCAGAAAAAAAAACGGAAAAAAAATAATGTTCGAGGACAGTATTAATTCCCGTAGCGTTCACTTAATTTTGAAAACTCGATTGTTTTTTTTTCTTCTTTCACCCTTTTAAAGCTACGTTTTCGTGTTTATTCGCTTGTGTTTGCAAAGCGCAGCTCTTCTCCTCTGTTTTATCACATTTTTGTAATTACACAAGGGAGCTTGCGAATATTGTGCTATAATACGAGGCCAACTTTTGTGTTATTCAACTCGCAATTGAAAGTATTCATTTTGGTGAATTTTTTGTGCGTAGTCTCGACAGTTTCATAGCATGCTCTCCGTTATATGCGGGTCCAGTGCTGAGGATTTTTACGCGTCAGTGGTACAGCTGTGAAAGGCTGTTATTGATGCTCGAAGCCTGTGGTTCGATTCCCGTATAGGGCAATATTTTATCAACTATCATTAATATTTTTCGTGCCCTTTTCTCTATTCTTTGCCTTTTGAAGCTATGTTTGTATTTGCGAAGTGCTGCTTCGGCTCTGTGTAAATATTTAAGGTTTTTTCTTTCCCCTCCCCGCTTTTGAATTACGATTTTCGTTTGCAAAAAAAAAACGAAATTAACGTTAACGTTCGTCATAATGAAATGAACCTTCGCATGGTGAACAATTTTCATATTTTGAACACATTTGTTCTTCTTACTTCAGCAGCAAATCTACGCATTAATTGACGCATTCAGCCATAATAAAATCAAAATTTCACTGAAAACGAAAAGATTGAAATATGGGGAAAATGGAAATGAGTTGTTTAGTTTTTTAGGGCAATCAATTATTTGCCTCTGATAAGTACCATACAAAATTTCATTCCATAATTTTTGTTGTTTTTTTCGAATAAGCAGTCGTACTGGGATCCCCCCATCATCTCACATAAGCATCAGTTTTATGGTGTACCAAAGGGTTTTACAATGTTAAGTATGAGACCAAATAAATTTGTGATCTTAGTCCGCATACCAGTTGTTGCAACAATCGGACAATGTAAACAAAAAAGCTCTGAAATTCGCATGCATGGGAGAGGGGAGGAACTTGCAATGCTTCGAGTGTGTTTCTCAGTTAGACATTTTCCATAGATTTTGTGTGTTTTTAAGACCAATCTAAATTTTCTTTTCTCTAGTTGCTCGGAAAGGTATGTGGTATGTGAATGTTTTTTGCTTGCTTAGGAGATCAGTGAAGAAGACAACTGCTGTTCAATCTGCATAGATGACTTCCAGTACGGCGACGCCGTCAGAGAACTTCCTTGCTCGTGAGTATATGTTTTTAACTTCATACGCTCAATCACTATCGTACTGCTGACAAGATAGTCCGCGTGCCAATTTTTGTAAAACGCGGACAATGTGAACAGAAAAAATTACTTCAAAATTTCATGTAGGAAAATGATACCCATTTTTATGTGCTTAAGTATCATCGGTACTAGTCTCAATCCGATTATGTTGATATTCGCTTCAGTAAACGAGTTGATATACCTTCTCGTGCGTGCTCAAATAATGGTCTTTGACCTGCATTTCATGTAGATGTTCAAAAATTGTGAACTCTGATCATGTTGCTTTTTGTTAGACACAAGTTCCACCGTGCATGTGTCGACCCATGGCTCGTCAGCCACTACAACTGCCCCAACTGCAAGACGAATGTGCTCAAGGCACTCAACCTTATCGACAAAGTCAATCTACCCAGGACACAGGAGGACGAGGAGAACTCTGTCGGGGGGTCATCTTCGGCCGGGGGCATCGCCATGACCACACCGGTCGTTGCACCTGGGGTAGGAGGCAGGGGCGCGTCGAGTGGAATTGGCAATGGGGGTGGAGGCAGAATGAGTCTGGTGCTGTCTATTACAGTACCTTCTACTCCACCAGATGATGATAACCAAGACAACAATGACTGGCTGAGATCCCATGTTAGCGATTACTTTGTTTTAGTCTTTTTGTTGGTATTATTTAAAGCCATTGTTGATCAACCGTAAATTATTTCTTTAATACTGTTTGCTCAAAAAAAAACGCCTGTAGCACTCTTGTGAGTTTGAACACACCTGTCAATTTATAATTCATATTGTAGATTTTCCCTGCATCTATCCTCTCGAATCCCATTGCTGTCTGAAACTTACTTTATTCAATCTTCATTTAAAAAAACTTCGGTGTATTTCAAAGTAGCGAATACAAAGGTGCCACGGGTGAAATGATGTGGAGTTTTCTTAATTAACATTTATTGATTATTCTCTGCTGTTAAGTGCATTATTCCTTCTACCTCCTCGTCTGCTACGAATCCCACTGCAGTTACCAAGAACAATGCTGAAAAAATGGAGACGAGAACGAAGATGAAATCCAGGTTGATTTCAAATCAAAAGTAGAAAACAAGCTAATGGAAACTGTAAACAACGATGATGCTCTTTTGTTTACGAGGTCACAGAATAATGAGGACAACAAAAGCAAGAAGGTCGTCCATGATGATGTAACCAGTGACGTAACCGATAAAGTCGATGACGTCATATATGCCAAGGCAACTCCTGAAAATGAGCAGCAAAATAATGACACCATCTCTCAAAAAACAAATCAAAATGAGAATCCGTGTGATCAAACTGAAGACAAGGTCATTGAAAACAAGTCATTTGAGGAAAAACTGTCCAATAATGAAAGCACATCTTGCAATTCTATTGCGATTGAGGTGGATCGCGATATTGCTGATAAAGAGTCAGTAAACGGAGATCGAGAGCTATCTGTCCAGAACGGTTGGTGCTTTTAGTGAAATTATGAGATAAGCAAGGCCTAATTTTCCCAGTTACTGGACAACTAGCCTAGATTGTACCAATGCCGATCCAAATGTTTTTCGCAAAGCAGGTTGAAAAAAAAACGTGCAGAAAAAACGACACCAATTTGAAAAAATATTGTATTTTTTGAGAATGTGGTCGGAACATTCTGTGCTACTTGCACAGTAACCGGCTATCTTTTTTTAATTATTTTGTTTTCCACGTAAAATCAGGTACCACAAATAATCATCGGACTTATTTTTCGTCTTTTTCGAGCGAGTAAAGCAATCGAGAATTATTCGTTATGTACAGGGGCGGATCTAGGATTTCTCAAGGGTGGGGGAGGCGGATTTTCAAAAAAATTTCCAAAATTTTGACGATATTTTTTTAAGGTCGACCAAATTGATTTTCGAGCTCTCTCAAAGCACTGTTTTGCCACTATTTTGGCAAAATTTTTTGCGCCGCAGGCAAATTTAAAAAAAAAACAGTCAAAAAGCCGTTTTTGGCCACTTATTGAAAAATTTGACAAAAAAATCCCTTTTTTTTTGGCGCGCGCTCCCCATCAAAGTTAGTATATATTAGCGCCAAAGGCGCCTTTAGAAAAATTTTAGGGTCGGTCGGCCAAAAATGGATCTCTGAAAAAGTATCAAAGGGGGGACCCGTGGG